GCGGTATGTCGTCTCTCCGCGGAGGTTTTATATCTATGTCATCGAGGAATGAACAGTGATGAAAACTATGCCGTATCCGTGTCAGCTCTCGCTGATGAGAAGAGATGGGAGATGTTGGCGGTTCGGAACAAGCTTTGTGTATAACCGCGCGCACCAATGTATAGTAAGCGTCTGTGCTATAGGCACGGGACAGCGGAGGTTAACGGACATATAGGACCCAGCATCACCGGTGCATCACCCCTGACGTCGAGTACACAGTATTTGGAAGGCGGAGCACGCACAGAACCTAAATATCAGATGGTGTGAAGACGCCGTCGGCCGAGCACGCATGGGGTAAAAGCTTTACGCACGTTCCAGCTACGGCGTACACCGTCTCATTCAGCCCGCAAATCCGTCGAGACTCACCAATTGATACAGCTGAGACAAAGCCTAGAAGTGAGAGACAGCGTCAATGCTGCCTGTTGTCTGCAAAATTTACAGCAATACTGGTGAGCGAACGTGGTCTTGCAACACACAGTACTAGTGAGGTCTGATGGCCTACACTTTTGTATGTGCGCAGCTCAAGCCCCACGTCAAGGCGGGCTTTGCGGTAGATCGCAATGATCGCCACCAAGAATGCATGTCAGTGTCTAACGTATGCGCGCACAGTTAGGTTGTCGCCTTTGTGAACTTCTCGGAGTAGCTGGATAACGAGAAGATGCTGAAGCCTGGAGTATTCAGTGCGGCGGAGAACAAGACGCCCCTCCGCCCAGATCTCGCGTGAACAGATCGCTATGGTTGAAGTATCCGGTAGTCAACGGCTTAAAGAGCACATCGCGAAGCTCTGTGAGACTACTCTTGCAGAAGACCAAGCCTCCTAAATCGGTGGCAGTGGTGTCCCGACGGAGATAGCTGGTAACTCTTGATAGATGTTGGCTGTACAGCTGCGTTACGAAAGAAAGAAAGAAGCTCGCCGTGACTCCGTGAAGGACGAAGCCATGGAGTATCGCCAAAAAAAGGCTTGAATCAAGCGGGAGTGTCTCGAAGCATGTCACAGTGGCGTAGGCGAGCGGATGAGCCAGCGGCTGGCCAAATTCAAGGATCGCGAACCTGTCTTTAGTCTTCAGGGGCTCTAACTATCTCGTCTCATTTATTGCAAGTACGTGGAGGAATCTCGAGCCCCGGGAGGATGAAGGAACGCGACGCCTTTCTCGTTGTTGACATGTGGCCTGGAGAGTTCGAGGTCGGCCGGTCTCGTGTAGTTTCGGCAACTGACGGCCACACTGGCAGCACGAACGCCATATACTGGTAAGCTCCCACTTGATCTGCATGGAGAAAAATGTTAGCGGATGAGAAACATTTTCCCTTTGGTGGACTTACGATCAGTAAATATATACTGAGTCGTAGACAGCGAAGATTTTGTTGCACCCGTTTCGTCTCTGCGAAGGTGACATCGGTTGTAAAAGGTCTGAACGCTAGCTTGCATGCAATTTGACACAGAGAGCTTGAGTCAGTCCAAGACCACCGTTGATAGACTATATTCTCATCTCAGGTTCCGGGTCGGTAGGAATGGGATCACACCATAATCAAAGGGAAAGCGGACGATCGTCTCGAGCCGCAAAACCGCGAGAATATATTGTGCAACTCAAACGCCACAAAGCTATCGGACCTTGAACTGCTGGCATGCAAGTCTCGAACAGACGACTATCATCTGCAGATATCAATTTTATGTGGCCTTTAAATTCAGCCCCCCAAGCCCTTCAAGCGGCATTAGGACGATAACCATCTGAGACAGAGGCCCGGGCCCCCATCACCACGAGCAGCACGGCGCCTACCGTCACTGCGCTGAAACACACAAGCATTGAAACGTGTTGCAAGCTAGGCCTTTCATACCTTATTCAGACTTTTCACATACACGTCCAGCTCAGGAAGCAGAACACCTATGCAGCAGATTGTGGTGGATGATCACGGAATCGAGCTGCTCCTGCTTCAAAACCGAGAAACGCGTATACCACAACCTTCGCCGTAACCGAAAACGCTCTGCAATCATGACCCTTCGGGGGTTGGATATTGGCGAACTCCACACGACCACGAGCGGAACGCTCAGTATAGAAAGCATTTTAACCCTGAAGAAACGTGCTGCAAATCAAACCTTTCGCCCCAACACTCAGTCCGGGAGACAGAACAACTATGCAGCAAATTGTGGTGGATGATCAAGGAACCAAGCTGTCATACATTGATAGCGGTACTCCCGATTCAAAATCAGGAAGCGCCTATACCACAATCTTCGGCATTCATGGCTCGGCATTCACCAATTGTGAGTCTGCCAGACCATTCGCGCTCCTCGCATGCTGAAGACCATCCCCATTCAGATGCCTTCGATAAGCTGATGGCTGTTGCTGCCCAATATAATATTCGTCTTGTCGCCATGAATCGCAGAGAATATCCAGGTTCGACCCCACTGTATCCCTCCGACATTGAGATCCTCAACTCGGGTACCGATGACGAGAAGGCTGCATTTCTGCGTACTCGAGGACTCGAGATCGCCACCTTCGTCTGTCGTTTCGCTCAACAGTTCGACATACCTCGTCGCTCTGAAGATGGCAAGACCGGCGGATTCGCAATCCTTGGCTGGTCTTTCGGCTGTGCGATTGCCCACGCCGTCGTCGCCCACATTGATGCCTTTCCGTCTTCCTCGAAACAATACTTTTTCCACGAATCTTCATGGTCTTGTCCTTCATGGCAAATCCAACTGCTCTGCCGTGTAGCCTCACGACTAACACTTGTCCAGAACCGGTGACTGTCACCGTCTGCACACCGCTGCCGCCCAAGGCCTAGTCGCCGCACATCGACACCACCATGCCCACAGAGCTCCGCGACGACTTCTTTAACCACTGGATCACCGCATACTTCAAGCACGGTGACCTGTCTACCCGGGACCTCGACGTCCTGTCGTACATCGTGCCTGGGACGTTCCGTGCACCGAGCATCTACTCGATGTCGGACGAGCAGCTGGCGAAGATGACGTACGCGCCGCCGGCGCAGACGTCAGACATGCTGTTCATTCTCTTCTGCTCTGCGGCGATCAACGCGAGCTACCGCAAGGCCTGCTTCGACAAGGACGTCAGGGCTGCGCTTCCGGGAATGAAGGTGGCTGTCATCATGGGCGATGTGACATCTGCGCTCTCGCTGGCCGCGTACTTTTCGCTTCAGGATGACGACGAGTCGTTTGGCGGTGGGCTGATAAAGTTCAAGGAGCTGGATGGCATGAACCATTTTGTGAGTGGGCGTACGCCGTCATATGTCACATGCAAGACTACCAAACTGATGGCTATCCATGCAGGCCCGCTGGGACGAGCCGGAACTCATACTTGAGACAGTAATGGCGTGTATTGACTGATACGTTGTGTCATGCGTCTGAGATATGAACGTGCACTTCTTTGAGTTCAGGTCCTATGACAAGCCGCGGTCGCTCGATATATATCGCACAGCACATCGGGGGTATCTTGCAAATGATAAGGGAAACTAGGAACCCTTGAGAACAACTAGTATCCTTTCGCCTGTATGCCTATTTCTCCTTGCAGCACCTTCAGTGACGTTGACGATGTAAGCCGTTCTTGTTCTCTTCCTCACCTACCATTACGGACTGGACCTCCGCTACATACTACGGGCGCGGAGTCCGTCCCCATACTTCCGGCCATTGTAGCTGGCTCGGCGCGCATCTCAGCTTAAGACCACTGCGCTGCTGATAGTGCTCTTTGACACTTTCGGGTCGACTCTCCTTGTTTCACTCAGATTTATCACGTGTGGGTCGCGATAAGTATCGATGATTCGATATCATACACTTCGCAGGGACGTACCAAGCCGCGGAGATTGCAATAAGGTCACCTGCCTTCAACACAGACGGCCATTTTAGCGATTGAGTTAGGGTGCACCCGTGTTGCTGGCACTAGGTGGTAGGTGCAGTTTTTTTTGCCTGCATAACTAGCCAAAAGCTAGGCGAACAAGAACCTGTGTTTAACCGGTTTTCATTCGAGAAAATTTGGAGACAAAACGTCCTTTTCCGCTAGTTTTGTCGTGTTTCAGCCTCTTTTGGCCGGTTTTGCACCAATTTGCGCACTAATTTACCCCAATATACAACCGGGGAACAGTTGGTTCTTGTTTTTCCAATTTTAGGCCGGGTTTCTTAAAGAAAAAAAAGCGTGCTTACCACCCTGTGTGGGGATTCTAAGTGAATGTAGGGCTAATAAGGTTGCGCCACATCCCGACCATATCAAATAGAGCGTACTAGGATGCCCAGACCTATCCCGCAGATTGTACACTTGTGAATCACGCGCCTTATTCCTATACGTTGTAGGAATTTCTTACTCAGACGCAGCAAGAACTCGCGCTCAGGGAACTCGTGCCGGACCAACACGTTTCGCGCTGCGGGAGACCGTGGGAGCAATCTCGGGATATAAAGTCAATTGTTGTACCCAGTATTCTTATCCCAACCCACCATGTCCGTACGTTGTATGTAGGCTAGTTAGTGGTGTATTGATCCTTTTGGTGCTATCTCACGATCAGACGAGTGTGTTAACGAAGATGGTCGCCGAGTGCGATATGCACTTGGCGCACACGCCAGTCGTTGGGCAGAAACGCGTGCGATACATGAAGTGGGTACCGTCACCTCAGCCCAGTCCCAAGACTTCTGTCTCCCACAACCGAGTGCTAAAACTCTGGGTTCTGGGGAAACGTGAGCAGCCGGCGCAACCGTTCGCGCACGACCTCGTTCCGCTCCCTGGGAAAGATTTCCTGGAGGTTGACAGGCCCGAGGTGGACGGTCCCCGTCTGGCCGCCGGGCACGCACGCGACCTCGCGCAGGCCCGGGTTCATCGCGACCACGCCGACCTTGGCAAGGAACGCGCGCACGAGCAGGTAGTACGGGTCGATGACGAGCCGGCGCAGCGTCGGCGACGCCGCAAGCGCGGCTGCGAGCGTGTCAGTCACATAATACGCGTCGTTCTGCGCGCATACAAACGTGTGCTGATGAACGGCGGGGAAGGGAAGAAGATAGGTGGAGGGGGAGAGAGAAAAGCCGCGTGTCAGCGAGCGGCGCGCGGGCGGGGACGAGGGAGAGGCGCGGTGTGGCGCAACCACTCACTAGGGCCCAGGTGCCGCTGTGGATGAGGTCCGCGAGCGTCTTGTCGACGCGCTGCACCATCGCCGTGTGCGGCTGCCCGAGCCGGCCCTGGAGGTACACCGCGCCAGGGTTCAGCGCAGGCAGCGCGAGGAGCAGCCCGTCCGCGGCGCCGCCGGCGCGGTCCGCGAGGCTCATGAGGACGTACACGCTCGCGAGGCGCTGGGGGAGGAACTGGACGACGGCGCGGAGCTCGGGCCCGAACTCGCCCTGGAGCTTGAGGCAGCGGACGGCGAGGGCGGCGTGCGGGTGGGCACGGAAGAGACGCGCCACGGACGCGGCGTGGCTGCTCGTGGTGAGGACGAGACACTCGTAGAGAAGTGGCGTGCCTACGCGTAGCCAGAGCTTGCACACCTGGAGGACCTGGTGAGTTGGCTCGGGGCGCCACCGTCCGCGCCTGTTGAACACCCGGTGTGGAACGCAGAGCAGGTGGGAGAGGATGTCCTGGATGCGTTCCTCCGGGAGCATGGACAGGTACAAAGGGGGGTCATAAGGTAGACGTTTTCCTGGCATCCCAGGCACATCGCATCGTAGTGTGTGCCCCCGTTTACGAAGACGGGCGCTTGTCGTGGTTGATCGAGTTATCCTCCGAGTTCAGACCATGCCGGCTCGCAGTGCGGCTGCCGCGCTTGCCAAAGTTGAGGAGGCCGAGGAGGACGAGCGCGGCGAGGAGCATGCTGTAGACCGCGAACGTGAGGCCAGCACCGAGGAAGCCCGCGCCGACGGGGCTGATCCGGTCGTGGTGCGTCGGCGCCGGTGCGCTCGCCGCGGCCGACGACGCGTTCAGGAGCGCGCCGCACCCGCGGAGCGTCGTCTGGTTGCATGTGAGGCACCACTCGAGCGTCGTGTTGATCGCGACGGGCTCGAACGTGCTCAGGAACGTCGAGAGCGGGACGTCGCCTGGAGAAGACATGCTCGGCAGCTGCATGTTGTACGTCTTGAACACGTCGTCGTCCGTCCCGTTCTTGAACTGGAACCTGATGAAGGGCTCGCCACCGCCACTCGGCTGGCGGACCTCCAGTGCGAGTGCCGCCGCGTAGTTGACGATTGCTGGGGGGACCTGTCCGTCGGCGTTGACACCCGTCATGTTGAACAGACTCAGGAATGGCTTGTACGAGATGGCCGTATATGAGAACTTGAGTGGGTTCGAGCTGTTGGCGATGTCCTGCATAGCAGACAAGACGGACGGAAGCATCGCCGTGCCGGCAACTGTAAAAGGTATGGTGAGTAGCAGCTCGAAAGAAGGTGCGGAGAACACGTACTGTTGCCAATACCACCAAGAGTGGAATCTGAGAAGACGTTCCACTCGTGCCAGTTCGCGAGATCGCGAGCCTGAGCAAGGAACGTAGGAGGAAGATTCTTCGCGAACGTGGCGTTGTGGATGGACTGAACGTTCATGAAGTCATAGATCTGAAGCAAGGATCAGTCAACCGCCCTTCGCACCAACGGCGAGGTTTCGCTCACGTTCCACATGTTCACGAGGGTCACAGGTCGGCCGTCCAGGAAAGGAGGAAGCTGACTAAGGAAAGCAGCACTCTCGTTGGCCTTCTGCTGGAAGGCCGTTGAGTTGTAGAACGCGCTGGTGCGAGTGTTTTGCGTCTGGAAGCCAACACTGTCAAGACGCTAGAGAGTTCTTGCGCGGATTGACATACATTGCAGTCTGTGAATCCCTCCAACGAAACATCATTTATCCCGATGGAGTCAACGGGGACATACTGGTACCCTTGGAAGGGACCTGTCACAGAACTACCATTCGCAAGAGCGATAGTATTGGCAGTCTGTCCGGCAGGATTCAGTTGACGATTAAGGCGAAGCAGAGGGGGGTGCGTACGGCATTAGGCGGGAACAAGCCTTGCAGGAGGGCGTTCGCACTGTCGATGATCACAAATCCCTCATCTGCGAAATCTGCCTGGGCGGAGAACGTGTCCGAGTCGAAGACAGTCGAGAGCCCGAAGTAGGACGGCGAGCTGGAGTTGAGGTAGACCGAGCCGACGTACTGGCCGAGCTGCTGCTCTTGGAGCTGAAAGGGGAAACAATGAGCACAAATGTATGGACACGAACGTGCGAGCGCGGCGTGGTCTGCTCACCTCTCCAAGGGGGGTGATGGCCGTGTTGGAGGCGTCGTACGTTATGGGGTCCTGGTAGAAACCCTGACGGTCACCGTGGCGAGCAATGAGGACAACACCGAGGACGTTGGACGACGACATGGCTGCGGCTTGGACTGGGCGGGTCGCACCTGATTGTAGGAGAATCCGAGGGAGCTTTATACACAGGCTGGCCGGCAACGGCAGCTCGGCGTGACTTGAGAAGGACACTGGGAACGTATTGCCATCCTCTAACTTCCGCGATTGCGTGGGTTCTTGCAGGGTCAGGCCATATGGGCTTCAGCGAGCGATAATCAAAGCATTGGTCACAAACTGAATTTTCAGGCACCAAAGCCCCTGTCTTGCCTTTTGTGGTGGCGAAGCAGGTCAAGCTTTTTTCTCCACCTCCCTTCCCACCGCCCACATACGGAGCCAACTGCGGATCGTGAGCGGTCACAAAAAGTCTGCGCTTGCATTTTGCATCGTCGGAGGTCGAATCGTCACCCGCGATGAACTCCAGGCTGCCACTGTCATCCCAATGCGGCATGGCATCTTTCACGGAGGCTTTATGTTGAAAACAAAGGATGAAGAATGTCAAAAGCCAACCGTTTCCGGGCTCAGTTTCACCGACTATTAGAGAAGAGAAGAGAGACGTTGATGGTTTGGATCCAACAAGCTGCGCGCCGTGATTTCTGCATGTAACCGCTCACAGGAAGGGCGCCGGGCGCCAGTGCTGGAAGCTTAAGTATGCACTGCACAGCGGGGCTCGAGATACACAACGTCCTCGACGTCGAGCACACGATGTTCAGGTCGGGCATGGGAATGAAACGGCGGAGCATGCACGGAATCTAGACATATCATGCACGTCAGATGGTGTAAAGACGCCGTTAACTAAGCTCGCGCGGAGTGAGAGTCTCCCACATGTTTTAGCAATGTTGTGATGTTCGCAGGGTTCTGGCAGACGCGAGGCCGCTCAATTGCACCTACCCAGAGTAAAGGATAGCCAGGCACGACCAGCTCAGTATGCGGCGAGACTTGCAAGTTTGAAGTCCCGCCTCTCGTAAAACTGTCGGCCGGAAGCTAACAGCTGGTAGCAGGGTCGCGGCCGAACGGAAACCTCTCAATTGACACAGCTACTTCGAGCCTCGCGGGAGCAGTCCTGTGACATGCCATCGCTAGTATGTATAGCCATAATTCCCGCAGATCCTGCCAATTTACTGTTACAATAGGGTATTCGATACATTATGCGACGAGCAAAAGGAGCTGCAAAAATGCAAATGCTGAAAGCGCGTGTGTGCAAAACGTGCAAAGCAAGCAAGGGCGAGGGAGACAGAAAGGCGAAGAGATGACGTCTAAGGGAACGAAGAAACGGACGGGGATGGTTGTTGACTGCGGGTGTCCAGCGGGGCTGTTACCGCGGCGACGTGCCGGTCGAGGAGACGTCCGACAGGAACGACGCATCGCTGGGCGACTGCCGTGTGGCCCTACTCGCAGAGAGGCCTCCTACGGCCCTCGTCGCCGCACGCACGTGCCTGCCAGTGAGCGGCGACGCGATCGACGCCGCGCCCTCGGACGCTGTCCTGCGCATCTTCTTCGGCGCGATGGCCGCCTTGGGGCTCTCGGTGCCCTTGCCCCTGCGTGCATGCGCCGGCCGCAGCGCGGGCGCGAGCAGCGGGAGGAGCTCGCCCGCGAGCTGGCGCACGAGCACGGCGGGGTCGTCGGCGCTGAGCTTGCGCACGACGTCGTGCAGACCGAAGCGCTCGATGAGTGTCGCGCGGTTCGGGTGCACCTCGCAGACCCACTTGAGGAGCTTGAGCAGGTGCAGCCGCACGTGTGGCTTGCTGTGGCCCAGTTTCTCGACGGTACGCTTGAAGAACTGTGACTTGGCGATGCCGATCGTCACCAACGTCGAGACGCGGCAAAGCTTGTAGAACGCTTCGAGCAGGTTCTCGAACGAGTTCGCTTTGGAGTTGACGAAGCACCGGAGCAGCGCGTCGAGAGCGTCGGGTTTGAGGAGCTGATCCTCGATTCGATGGGTCTCGTCTGTTAACCTGGGTAACATGTCAGATGATAGAAAAGTCTAGACAGCTATGTGCGAACATACCACGCAAAAATGGCTTCCAGTGCACTAACTTGGAAGTACGGATCATCTAATAGTTTGACGTACAGAGAGAAGCCATCGTGCTGCCAAAGCAGGATGCGACAGCTCTTGCTAGCGCTGGCCAGGTCGCAGAGGATAGGAAGAGCAAATTGCTTGAGAGGTGACTTCGTCGGGAGCACCCGTACGAGACATGGAACGATACCAGCCTGCGCTGCCTCCTCCTGTCGAGACTTGTTGAGGCGACAGAGATTGTAGCACGTCTGGAAGACATGGTTGCAAATTTCCTGTGTGGTAGTGTCGCATTAGGTAGAGCTAGAACGGGTGGATGAGACTGGACATACAGCACTGTACGGCCCGGAGCTTTGTTCTTCGAGTATCTTGACAAGGATATCGATCGCATTGGCGTTCTGCAACACTTCGAGTAGTGTCGCGCTCATAGATAGATGCTTTACCGCCTTGAGCACGTTGACCAAGTACTCCGGTTCGAGCAACTCGCATGCCCGCAACAGACCTGTTATTTCCTTTAATACGTCCAAACGATTTCCAGGGAATCAAAGACGACGCACGTCTGACGACCTTCCGTGTCCCGAGTGCATTACGCACATGAATATCCGACTGCGAGACCTGGCAGAAGACTAAAACGATCTGGATGATCTTCCCGTTCATCTCTGCCGCCGTTTCGCCGCGGCTCGTCATAATGTTCAGCAGCGCCGAGGAAAGCGGGTCAAGCAGGCCCTCACGGATGAACATCCGGCAGAAGTCATTCTTGGTCGTCGGGCTCTGGAGCTCGAAGACGCTGCAGATCCCGTTTAGGGCATGGATCACAAGCTGGCTCTGCTCCGTGTAGTCTTCGTCGAGGAGGTCGACAAGGACCCTCAAACCGCGGCATCTGTGGAACAGATATCAGCATTGGCAGAACAAGTCGGGGTGCAAGCAACGTACGAGATGAACATCTGCAGGGTCAGGACGGAGGAATGACAAAGCAAACGGATAAAATTAGATGCTTCCAGTCGACACTCCGGTGAATGCTTCTTGGAGGTAAACTCCATCATCACAGGTATTCCGCTAGAACTCTGTTAGTCTCAAAACCAGCATAGACAAATAAATTTTAGGCACCCTATCAGACAGAAGCTCTCCAAGAAGCCCATGTCAGATGTTACCAGCTAGCCGACGAGTCAGCGAGGGTCGAGAGTTGCCTGAAGCGAGGACTCACAGCGTTCACGATTTGCAACAATCTCAACGCCACCTCTCGAGATATTCGACTCTCGAGCACCTCCATGATAGCAAGCATCCCATGCGCTGACACGAGCTGTGACTGCATCTCCGGCGCGTCGACAATGATAGCAAGCTGCAACGTCGTCATTATTAGTTTGCAAGGCACAAGACGGCTTAGTCCTTACCAGCTGATCGCATGCCTCACGCAGCTGGAAGTCCGGGGCGGACGGCGTTAGCTCGTCTATAAGCAGGTTGACGCTATTGCACAGTCGAGCATACTTGTCGCGCTGGAGGTTCGATTCTAGGTCTTCTTCGGCAAAGCCTTCGTCGATCTGCGAAAACCGTTTCGATGAGCGGTTTGGGTGTTTTAGACTGAATGCTACTCACGTCCGCAAACGGATCCTCGTCGTCATCGTCATCACCCAACTAGGAAAGCAAACGTCAATATACGTTACCACGGATCACGAAGGTCATACCCATGACTCGTTGGACAGGCGAGTGTTAAGCTGCAGGGTTTGCATCGGATGTGTAGCTAGACAATTTGAGTTGGATAAAGTGAATTTCACTTGCGAACGTACACATACAGTTGCCATTGACCTTGTCAAAAATATCCTCGTAGTCTTCATCATCATCCTCGGTGTATTTCCCGAATTCAGACTGACTGTGCAGTCTCCTGGCCTCTGCGCGCCCAGCCGAGCCGCCGTTCGAACCCACAGATGACGAGGATCGTTGGTGGCCACGACTAGGCGTGCTACTACCAGATGAAAGCGGGTTGAGGGACGGTCGCGAGGGCTTGTGGGAGAGCACAGGGAGCGGTGCTGTCTTCGGGCCAGGCGATGTTGGCATGAGTCCAACGATCTTGATGTCGTCTGGATGGAAGAGACCGCGGCGGACGGAGATTTTCTTCTACGGACGCGCTTAATACCAGCTACATCTGCAACAGACACCACGATACTGACCTTGAAGTCGGCGACCTTTGCTTGGAGATTGTCGTCATCCTCAGCGAAGTCAAAGTCTAGATCCTCGACGATTGGCTCTATGTCAGCGGCAGGTGGCTTCGAAACCGGGAGCGGTGATGGAACTACGCTCGGACTGCGAGACGATGGCCTGATAGTTTGTCCGTTATCTTCAACTTCTTGCTTCTCCTCTCCGCCCTCAGTGGTGGTCTTCTCCAATGCTAATATAAAGTCAGAGACACCATGCATACGAGACTACACCAAGACTAGCCTTGTAACTTAGTTAGAGAGATCCCTTCCTCGAAGTCATCGTCCCAGTTATCGGTCTGCTCCTCGGGCTGCTGGAGCACGAAAGGTATGGGCAGGGTCTCACGAATGTGTCCAAGAGGTGTGGGCATGGCTGGAGTCTTGGGCGCTTGTGTAGGGTTAGGTCGCAGCAGTAGGCTAGCAGGCTTCTGTCCCGAGTTCGATGCACTTAGACCTTGCGAAGATGCCAATGGGGTCTTGGAGGCGGGGCCAAAGTCCAATGGCTGCAGTGGAGAGTGCCGACCGTCGCCATCGAGGTTTGGACGCTTAGTAGGGTGTTTGGCCGGTTTCGACGGGGCTATAGAAGGGTTAGTGGAATACAAGATGGGCGAAAGAACCGCATACATTTAAGTGCTTCGTTCCATTCTTGCACTTTGAGGACAGCCTCATTAAAATTGTAGTTGCTCAACGGCCGCTTGTTCGAACTGTCTGCCCCTTTGTCTCCGGAAATTTGCCGCTTGGATGCAGCCATCCACGGGTGTTTGAGGAGCTTCTTCGCAGAGACACGGAGGTTGGGATCCTTTTGGAAACAGTGGTATAGAAAGTCCTTTACGACAGGTGACGCGCCCTCAGGAATGGGCGGACAATCGTCTTGTACAATGCGAAACAGCGCGGGCATGGGGTCTAGGAAATGGTAGGGAGGCTTTCCTTCGAGCAGTTCAATGACCGTACACCCCACGGACCAGATATCTGAAGCGGTTGTTGCGCCAGACTGCTCTATTACCTCGGGTGCCACTGCATACAGTCAACTTAGTACAGTGGGCCAGGTAACTGCAGTACGCACTCCAGTATGGGCTTCCAACAACTTCATTCTCTCGAACCGCTGTCGCGGCTGCATTGCTTGCGACGCCGAAATCTGCAAGTTTGACGCAGCCATCCTTGTTCGTAAGGATATTGGCACCCTTGATGTCACGGTGTATGACACCTTGTTCGTGAAGATACATGAGACCTTCCAACACTTGCGAGATGTACACGCCTACGAGGGTTTCTGGGAACTTGCCGAAACGCTTGCATATATTGTGCAGTGAACCGTTCTCGCAAAATCTACGCGTTTATACCTCAGCGCCGACGTTCATGAGATGGAGAGGATGAGCACACTCTAGGATGATGTAGAGGAACTCTGGTGTCTTCTCATAGCCTTTATACTTGACAATGTTCGGATGCTGCGTAGCGGAATTATTTCTATGGGTGAGACACGGAGGCATAATGACGTACATTGAGATTCTTCAGCAAGTTAATCTCGGACTGGACCAGTGAGCACGTTTTGCGACGCGACCTTGCACGCTAGGCTTACCATAATCTGCCCTATCTCGCTCTTTGGTATGTTACTGAGCTGAATCTCCTTGACGGCGACTGTCTCGCCGGTCTCCCAGTTCAAAGCACCTGTCCGTGGCGTTCAAGCGCGGAACCGAGCGAATACGCGTCCATTCACTCACGATAAACCTGCCCGAACGCGCCTTTGCCTAACGAGTCGCCTAGTTGCTATGCCCTCAAAGTCAAGCTCGACTCCCACACGCAGGCTTGATGGAAACATACAAAGGCACTAAGCATCTTGTGAGAGGACAAATATCTCGGAGGCGAAGTCATGTTTGCAGTTGTGTTCGCGTCGTGTGGGAGACAAAGTGATGAGGGTAGCAAAGAGACCTGCTCCTTATAGCATTTCCTTGAAAGGTCGGTTGCTGATTAGACGTTCACGGTTTGGGTACACGTCAAGAAAGCGACTGTACAGTCGACTCGAGTGGTGGTCTCTGCCAAAGTGCCAACGACGGTTTATCGAGCCTGTTAAGAGTTATATTATCCGACAAGTCTACTTCTGGAGCTATCTTTCCAAATATGATGGCTATCACGCGGTTGTCTCACGAAACCCTATTGAAAAAGGTTCGCGACCTCCAGGTCGCCGCTGCCGACATCGAGCTCATCATTCTCCGTTCTGTCCAACTTCTCACTCTCATTTTTCTTAATTCTCTGACATTTGTTTATCTGGACGGATTTGCGCCAACTAATCCTACTTCTCTCCACTGGAAATGGCCCTTGCGACGATCCATCCGTCGCGTTCTACCTTCTCTCGTGAACCAGCCTGGGATGAAGCAATTGTACCAGCTCTGCGCAAGCGTGCGTACCCCAGCCATTACAATCCGTTCGATTATTGCAACGATGCTTCATAGGTCTGGAGACTGAAAGCCATTTGTTGGCAAAGCGAATGTCGGCTGCGTCCATAGACGGGCCGGACACTTCCCTTGCTTCGAGCTCGACCTTCGCCTCCAGAAACAGAGCAGCTACCCCAACCTCTTCAAAACCCAGCGCCATTCCACGACCAAGCATGCAGCAGTCGCGTACGGCAGACACTTCCCGCGCTCGTTCGGGCTCGTTTCAGCGTAATCGCACGGTTTCACAACCATTTCCCTTTGAGCCACTATTGTCGCAAAGCGCACCGCCGCTGCCGGCTGATGCTACCTCGCGCTCAAGCTCGCCAATGTCGTCTTCCGTGCATTCAACTCGAATACCAGTTTCTCGGGGGCGCACGGGCAGCGTGTCGAGCAGTTACCAACCGTCCTTGCATAGCGTGGCCATGAACACACGGGGCGATAGCAGGAACGGGCATTACAAGACAAACGGCGCTGCCTACGGCCCTGAGTTGGCCACCGATCTATGGCCGGTGGCAGAAGGTCGCCAGCCATCCTCTGTTAGTCCGCGGTCGAGAGCCAAGTCGTCTCAGTCAGGCGCGCCAGAGTCGGTGGACGAGAGGTCCCCCTACAACTCAAGCTCGCGTCGCGGCTATGACGACGACTACCCTCGAATGTCTAACGACTCTGAAGAGCGGCCGTACGAACATTGGTACCGCGGCGACGTGTCACGTAACGGAGGCGTTGGCGAACTCCGGGTGGGCAAGCGGCTAGAGATGCTAGATATCGCCAACTATGGCCACACGCTACGACAAGCGTCTTCACGAACAGCCCTTTCCTCCTCGTCACGGTCGCGCTCGAATTCTCGTGGTAGGGATGCTGCTCACAGTCGTCCAACGACGAGGTCGAGGGCAGAGAGCGTGGGTGCCAGGGAGAGCATATATCTGGACGAGGATAGTAAGCTGGGACATGGATCATTCGTGTTGAACGAAAGGCCACCAACAGATATCGACACGGACGAAGAGGCGTACGAGGACGAGGAGTACTATGAGGAGGACACTACGGCATACGGAGGAGATAACGGCGCGGTGTCTCCCCCACACTCATTAGACCGCAGTGATTCTCCTACACTAGTAGATCTAAGGCCTCTGGGTTCAAAAGTCGAATACCTACGCCTACCTCACGGAATCCTGGCTCCCGCTCCGGCACCCCGACGAGTGCATCGCCCCCGCCGCTCGAAGTTCCACCTACTCCCAAAGCCTCCCCTCCTCCCTTATCTCAAGCTGCGCCTAAGCCTGCCGCTGCTACGACTGCCGCAAAGCGCAAAGCAAAGGGTCCTGCGGCGACTACGCCTGCTCCTGCGAAGCGCACCAAGAAACCACCAGCGAAGCCAAAGACCACGCTAAAGAAGGACACCCGGTCGAGAGAGTCGGTCGCACAATATCCTGCTCCCGAAGGAGATGACGTCATGCACGCAGTTCCCTCGTGGACTCAGCCGGTGCCGAAGTCTGGTAATTGGGATGATGTGCGGTTCTCGCTTATCTGCCACGTTTCCTGCCTTCTCACCTCTGTTTCAGGTGGTCCTGCCGGTAGTCGCTCGCAAGAAGGGGCTCGAAGACCACTACGTGCCCGCTGACGGCACCCCGAAGCCAAAGCAGCGTGCAAAGCGTGTCATCGAGCCGGTACGTATGGTGCACCAGATAATCTACTCCTTGCCTCACGCCTTTTTGTACACAGGCTCCGGGCACGTTTGGCTTCGACCACTCGAAATACCGTGGCCGAACCGATACACGCGACGAGGAGATACTTATGGATGACTTCGATCAAGACGTTGACGATCTTGCTCCTATCGACGAGCAGCAGCCACCACCAGAGCTAGAGCCAGGGCCACAACCAAAGGTGGTCAACAAGGCGCCAATGCTGCAGGCGCCGTTGTCTCCACCACCACGGTTGTCGACGAGTCCTGTCCGCCCAGAGTCGCCTGCGCCCTTCTCGCAGTACATTGCGCCTGTTCCAATACCAGAGATCCGTGTCATACGGGCGTCGTCTGACAACCGGCCGAGAAGTGAGGTGGGTGAGGAGGATGAAAGCAGAGGAGGCGGGTGTTGCAAATGTGTCATCATGTGACGATATGCGTGGACTCTCTGCACCTCTCCTGGATCTCTGCCGTCAGCCCTTCTTGCTTTTACTGTCGGCAATATCGCTTGGGCACTCTTCTGCGTTCTCTCGTACGGCCGTGTCTTACCACTTTTGCTGCCTTTCTTCGTCCGTTGTGCTGTAACCCCGCTCTGCCGCGCATTCTTCTTCAGCCGCCCGTCTCGCACGCAACTTATTGGCTTATTATCCACGGTCCAGGCCCTTCTCATTCACATTTTCGCTTGTACAATGTTTAGAAATAACACCCTTCTTCCTTTATCCCTAATCACCTATACCTCTCACTAGCAGCCTCCATACCCTAGGTACAATATTACATCCGTATCCCCCTCCCAAAACCGTCCGACCGAGTGCGTTCACAGCGCGCAGAGCTCCGCGAGCGCCATGTCCCGGTGCGACGCGAGCAGGCCGTCCCGGTCGACGCGCACCTCGTCCGTCGCGAACGCGACGTCGACGGCGAACACCGCGTCCGCGCGCACGCCCCTGACCGCGAGCCGCGTCGCGTTCGCGAAGCGCGGCAGCGCCGCGCCGTCCTGCGTCCACGCGACCGTGTAGCTCGCGCCTGCCGCCGCCTCCCCCTCGATCGCCGCCTCCTCCCCCTCGATCGCCGCCTCCTGCTCCTTAGTCGTCGCAGAGTCTGCGTGGGCGGCCGCGAGCGGCACGAGGCGGAGCTCGGCGGCGAGGTCGACGGTGCCGGGCGCGGCGCCGGGGGTGCAGCGCGCGGTGAGGGCGTCGATGGGGTCGACGCGGCGCAGGAGCGCGGTCCAGAGGCCCTCGGTGCAGGCGCTGCAGAAGTCGGCCGTCGTGACCTGGCGCATGAGGCAGTCCTCGTTCGTCGGCCGGTACGTCGTCGTGTTCTCGAGCGAGAATCTGTGTCGCGGTAGTGTGTGCGCGTGTGTGTCAGTATGTGTGCGAGGTGATAGGGGAGTGTTGGGGATGGGAAACGCTCACGTTGGGTACATGCTGTAGTGCCCCGGGGTCGCGTTGAACCTGGACGAATGAGTTGGGGGACGTTCAGCCCAGTACGCTAAAAACAACGCCGAAATAAAATTAAAAAAACACGCAACTCATGTTCATCCCCAAACTCCAACACCTCCACACTACACATCTGCGCGTCGCCCTCGCGCGCCGCGTTCACGAGCGCAAACTCGACCTCGTGCGCGCCCTGCGCGAGCCCGCCGGCGCGGTAGACGTCGTAGTGCCAGCGGTCGCGGCCGATGCCGGGGCGCGGCTCCCAGGCGAGGTCCGCGCCGTCGAGCGCGACGCGCAGGTCGGCCGCGGCGGGCACGCCCGACAGCGAGAAGCGGACGAGGTGCCGGGCGTACGTGCCCGCCGCGGCGAAGCGCGCCGTCCACGGCGCGCTC